AGAAACAATGTCTAAGATCAATGACCATATTCGTAATATCCACAAGACGATACTTATGACAGTGTAGAGGAGAAGGTGGGAAAGGTGAGGCTCATGGGGCACGTCGAACACCACGTCTTGGTTCATGGTTGACCTGCTCCCTCTCCTTTGCGCACTTCGTAGTACTGCCTCTACGGGAGAGAGAAGGGGGGGGGGAGAGAGAGAGAGAGAGAGAGAGAGAGAGAGAGAGAGAGAGAGAGGGAAAATAGAGAGAAAGAGAGAGAAAGGTGTTTCAAAAAAGCAACCATTTCGCTATATTTTTGTGGACATTTGTTTCGTTCTTTCTGATTTGTTGTGTCCAATGTATACACGTGTGACGATATAATACATACATATATATATATATATATATATATATATATATATATATATATATATATATATATTGTTTCGTGGATGTTTTGCTGGCTTGTGATGGGGTGTGAACCGATAGTCTGTAGAGTTTTCCATCTGGTGTGGGTGAGTGATAGTCTACTTTGATTTCGGTTAAGGTAGATTATCATTTACAGTGTAAGCCGTGAGGGGATTCTGTAGACTGTTGAGGGTTCAGCCTTCTGATGAGTCGGTGAAACTCCGACGAAACAGTTTGTCACAGCCCCTCGTTTATTGTCCTCTTCTCTCTCTCTGCCGACGGTTTACCGGACAGTTTTGTTTGTGACGATACATATATATATATATATATATATATATCGTGTGTGTATATATATATATATATATCGTGTGTATATATATATATATCTGTTTGTGACGATATATATATATATATATATATATATATCGTGTGTGTGTATATATATATATATATATAGCGGGTTGACAGGCCGAACGTGCGGAGCCCCCTAAGCTGACCCCCTAACGTTCGGGCGTTCGGGTCCCCGTACGGGGCCAAACCCAACGGGGTTTGAAACCCACGAAAAAATATCTAGGCCCTTAGTTATTATTATTTTTTTTTTTAACGGTTTTTTATGAGTTTTTTATAATGTAAGGTATCTTCCTCTTTAGTTTGAAGGCATTATGTTTAGCCAAGAAATAATAAAAAATCGACAAATACGGTGGTGTCAGAATATGTTTCACCATTCACTAATTTGTTTTTTCTTTTTTTTCACTTTTGTTTTTCCCTTTATGTCGAGGCTGAAGAAAATTATATTTTTTTTAAAGCTTATTTGTAGGTTCTCTATTATGTAAGATACACATATATAACTTTTCATGGCATTTGTCAAAGCCAAAAAAAAGAAAAAATCACCAAAGATGGCTGTGTCAAAAATGTGCTCGCCCAGTTAATAATGTCATTTTTATTTTATTTTTTGTAATTTTCATTATTATTTATTATTTTTCGTATTTGATTTTTATTTCAAATTTGGTAAAAAAATTGGATGTAACCTTGACGCAAATGTTGTTCACGGTTGCCAACGTTCGGGAAGGGTCGAACGCTCGAACATGAACGCCCGAACCCGAACGCCCAAACGTTTGGGACCCCTTTTTCGACGCGTTCGGACGTCCAGCCCTGTGTAGCACGGCGAACGTGTTCACGGTGCTCCCCGTTCGCGCGAACACGTTCGCGCGAATGGGTCGCGAACACGTTTGCGCGTTTGCGCGAACGGGTCGCGAACACGTTCGCGAGAACGCGTTTGGGGAGGCCGCGAACGTCGAGGGGGCCGGTACCGGTCGCCGACGGTGGTCGGGGGGGGGGGGTTGGGGCCTGGGGGAGGGAAGGGG